CTCCAGCAAACATCAGCTGATACTAGAAATTAATATTAAATAAATTCTAACAACAGCTGATCAAGCTTAAACGTGCTGCTGTTGTTTAGCGCGACATCCGCTGGTTTCTTCTTTCTGCTGCAAAGTGGGCGATAAACAAACAAGAGAGAAAAGCCAATCAGCTGATCAATGATCAGTTTCATGATTGAAGTAGAAACAGGAGAGGGAGGGGGAGAGAATGAGAGAAGAACAGGCAGCTGTGCAGCAAAGACACAGAAAAACTCCAGCTTTGTTTCTTTTCCATTCTAGCTGAAGAACGGGACAAACTTTTACATAGTTGTGTGCTATGTAAAAGCACACAACTATGTGTGCTTTTACATAGCACACATAGCACACTATCTTCTCGTATTTCTCTAAATACGAGACGATTCCATTTTTTAGGAGATGGTTGGCATCATCATAATTAACCTTATGAAAAAAATAAAGTTCAACATCATCATAGCACCCACTCAGCCATATACAAACTCTGTCATGCTAGCTAGTACGCAGTACGAAAAAGTCAGCACAACGAAAAGAAACTCCACCTAAACTTGGTTTATATCTGACCCAGATAGACTGCAGGTCATAACTTCTTACCTGAAGTTCAGTTCACCTGACACTTGGACCGGCGGCTGCCTTGGGTCTCTCCTCCTGCCTCCCCTCCTGCCTCCCATTTCTCTCATCCACCTGCTGGTCTCCACCACTTGCTAATGTTACTGAATCTGTGGAAGCTCCGCGATAGCCACCACACGAAGTAACGAATAACGACCCTATCTAAATCCCAGTAACGACTAACGCGTTCCTGATTTTGGCATAATAACTAGTTACCGTGCTCGTTACCACAATAATAATGTAGTTACTGTAACGCGTTACTTAATAACGTGCTAGTCCCAACACTGATGACTTCAGACAAAACAGACTTTACAAGGGGACACAGCTGACAGGGGAGACAGAGGCAACATGGAGACAAGTGACTCGATGTGGAACACGGGGAAGACAAAGTGACAGGAACCTAAATTCTAGAAACTAAGAATGTAACACAAGCACTACACAATGAAGAGAACCAAAACCATGAATAACCATAATCAAAGAATATAAATTCACCAACAAACACAAAACCTTGGGTCACAGACCGAGTACCATGACAGTTTTAGTGACTTACTGTTTCCTCTTTCTGCTTTGGTTTCATCTTCAGACCTCCTGCAACTGTAAGCTGGGCTTCCAAGGATCGGGCAGATACTGTTTTCCTGTGAACCCCTGCAGAAATGTATGTGTGTGTGCTTTATTCTGCTCTGTAGCAAAATACTGACACTTGTTTTAAATGTTTTAAATGCCTGAAGGTGATGTGGGAACAGATACTTATTTTATGTGAGCGGTAGATAATTTTTTCATGTTTTAAGGCAATAAGTCGTTAATTTGGCTGCTGAATACGAAAGTACTCAGCACACCTGGGTGCTGCAGGGGAGCTGCATGACCTGGTTTCTTCAGTCAGTTAAATACCTGTAGTCATTATACAGCAGTAGGGATTTATATTACATTTGCAATCTCTAATTATGAGGGTAGAATATACATAGCTCTGCACTCGGATCACACAGCTGGGTATCTTCATAAATTATTGAAATCTCCTGAAAGGAGACATTAAGCTCTTCCTCTCAGATTCCAGGTTATTAGAGTGAGACTTGAGTGGTCGTCATCAGGAACCTTAATTGACATAATTTAACAGATTTTTCTAGGAAATTTCCAAATATTATCCAAATATTTCAGATGCCGTCTAAATAATTCTGTGGCAGCAGTCCTGTCCATGTGTCTTAGCAGGGATAATATGTTGACAGACACATTCCTATGCAAGCTATTTAATTATCTCCAAATACCTGTTTAAATTGATGTGTTTATATTTTGCAGAGAAGAGTGAGTAATTAAAAAAGGTTGATTTTTAATTTTGCTCCTCTGCACTGATTTAATTATCTGTAGAGATTAGTTTGAGGACAGAGTTTCAGTATGTCCTGAAAGACAATGCTAAAAAAAACCCTAAATCAACACTTTTTAATGGGAGTGTGGCGTCAAGTTCATTAAACTTCTGGGATATTGATCTGGTTAGTTAAGTGGCACATGAGCTGCTTTGGGGTTAATTTAATTAACAACAAGTCGACTAGAGGGGCAACAATGAGACAACCCCCAGACTAGGGATGGGTATTGATAAGATTTTCACGATTCCGATTCCATTTTCGATTCTGTTTAACGATTCGATTCTTTATCGATTCTGTTATCGATTGTTTTTTTTAAAAAAAGGAGAACATTAAGTT